AACTAAAAATCTGACATATCAAGAAGATCTTAATTCAATTTCAAACTCTTGCAAATGAGGCCCAATTAGTGGAGTGCATTTTGGTTTATTCTGAAACAACTCCATTGTTTAGATTAAATACAAATAAACAAGTCGTGATTGAGGAATTCGATTTTTGAATTTTTTACTACAATGACAATTTAACTCCATGGTTATACAGCGATTGTTCCCTGGCCTCTACGTAGAAATTTACTGAGTTAAGTACAAGTGAATTGTGGAATTGAATTTTTTAGAAGTTCGCACTGCAGTGAATTTACTTGTATCTTGATTATATTACAGCTGCGATTCGTTGGCCCTATGTAGAAACTTCCCGATGATGTTGCTATGAAGGCTTCAGGCACAAGACTCTGTGTTTATGATTGTGGGATTCATAAACGATGAACTGTATTAAATTTTATCTGATCTGAGCTTTACAGTCTTTCCTATTCAAAACGATGTCAATCTTGGACATGAATGTCATTGCCAATATTTTAATTAATTAATTAATTAATAAATTAATTAATAGTCATCAATTTTGTATTGAATTATAAACGTCGTTTATGTCTTGCTGCTGAATTATAACTTTTCAACGAAATCAAATCAACAAATTAACGATTTACCAGTTAACATAGAATGTTGACATCTGTGCCATCATACACTAGTTTTATTTGAACATTCTGGATCCTTATTCAATAACAAGGTATATGTATTCACCAGTGAAACATCCAATATTTGACCTAGTTCTTCAACCTAATTACCTTCATGTAATAGGAAAATATGAACCTTATAAATGACTCGTCAAAATGCTTAGTATATAACAGGATAAAAAGGTTGATGACCAGTACATAATTAGGGGAATAACTTCCGAGCGCAACTGGTATTACTCTCCATGTACGCTTGCAAAGATATCTGTGATCTTAATTTGGCATCACTTCATCCCGTTTGAATACAGAAGCGTAGCGACAAACGGAGAGCAGTATTGATTTGTTAAGATTTATATCTCCTCTATTTATCACACTTTGTGGTTCAGGCAATGTGTGAAGTGAGGACCAATAAGATACAAAAGGTCGCACAGCGTGGCATTATATCAAGTGACTTTAACTATGTGGAAGCCGAATTTGGAACCGACATATGAGAATTAGTGTTAGGAGTACAATTATAGATGAATAATGTTGATATGACTATTTGTTATCATGTTAACAGTTAAACTACCAAAGACAATAATTCATTTTACCACTCTCATAAAGCAAAGTTACTTTGTATATGTATTTTTGTACAGATATCGTACACAGTTTTTTTAAATAGGCTTACGGGGATCTTAATCGAGGCTATTTTTGTGGAGAACAGTTCAACGATGTGTGAGTTGAATTTTGTATCTATAAAATTATGTTTCAATGGTAACATAAAAGACACATCAAAGTTCTAATCTCGCCAATAGTCATTTCCCTGTAGATCAGTTGAATGGTAATTCATCGGTTGTCAAGGTTGCTCAAGGACCAGCCATTAAACACCAAAAAACTTTTAATATACCAAGTGAAATTATTCATTTATTCATTCAGACTCTTTGTTTTACAAATTTCTAGTATTTAAAACCTTGGCAATATCTTCATTTGCAATTAATTACTAATACAACATATTCTTATTACATCGATCACTCCCACTGTCAGTGAATGATCTCTCGTTATAGACAAAATCGTCCCTGCAGCACCTGTTGATAGTCCAGATAGTAAAACTTTTTAATTGGATTGCATTTACTTGCTACATACCAGAGATATTTCAAATAACTGATTAAAAAAAAAGTAGACATGTAAAACAATTTTTCGACTATGTTAAAGTTGTCGGCCTGATGGTATAAGATATGGCTTATCATAATCTCTTTTAAATTTCAACTGCGTTATTCTTAACTGTATATCCGAGTGTTCTGACATTTGTCTTTTGTCTTGTTCTTTTGTTTGATGTCGTTTAATTTAGGACGCTTTCGTTCATGCACTTTAACGATATTTTCTCTGTTGGTAAACAGTTACGAATAATAGCTGGTTAAATAGATAATTTTGTTAAATGTGCAATTCATATTTTTATTAGATAGTATTAATCGGAAATCCCGCATATAGCCAAGGTGAAATAGTGAGAGTTGCATTGATTCTTCAACAGGCAGCCCAATTTAATATCATCGATCTACGTATGCGTTTTATGGGGAAGAAAAACCAACATGATGTCTATTCGGATTTTAAGCGCGAGTGATCGGTTATACTCGGCCAGGGTATAATACTGCACGTGGCATAGGGACTTTGTGGTGTGTGTAACTAATTGGAATGTTGTACCGGCACGGTTAAGGCTAGTAACACGACGCCTCTGGTTGTTACGTTATCGTTTATGATTTCTCGCTGGAAATTTTTAATAGACAGATAAATAATGTTTTTTTTTCTTTCGGTACATGAATAACTGTATATCATGGCACGAGATAGTAGTCGATAGCCCCTACAAAATGTCGAGGAAATGTCATATTTAAGCTTATAATAAGATATCGATATCATACAGAATTTTTACTTGATAATGTCGAAAAAAAAAAAAAAAAAAAACCTTTAAGCCATCATTGACCAATTATTTTTCATTGGCAATGATTTATTATTATCATTATCAACATTATTAGCGGCCCATTAGCAATGGTGAATAAAACATCATGAAAGGAACAACATAAAACGACACAAAAGGTGGAAAAGTGATATCTTAACTTCAGGTAGCTTACAGTACTTAACTAACTAATCTAACATTTACCCCACCTAATTGAAAGATAAAGCCAAGCAGGTGATCAACAGTGCTGTTTAGGGAATATGTAATTTGTTTACAAAAAGACACTCGTTATATATACATTACATATGTAAATATTTTCAAAATATTCAGAAACAAATGTTGTAGATTGGTGTAGTGAAACAAATAGAATTGATTGCAGTGAAGCATATATTATAGATTGTAGTGAAACATATAGTATAGATTGTAGTGAAACATATATTATAGATTGTAGTGAAACATATAGTATAGATTGCAGTGAACATATAGTATAGATTGTAGTGAAAAATATACTATAGATTGTAGTGAAACACATATTATAGATTGTAGTGAAACATATAGTATAGATTGTAGTGAAACACATATTATAGATTGTAGTGAAACACATATTATAGATTGTAGTGAAACATATAGTATAGATTGTAGTTAAACATATAGTATAGATTGTAGTGAAAAATATACTATAAGTGAAACACATATTATAGATTGTAGTGAAACATATAGTATAGATTGTAGTGAAACATATATTATAGATTGTAGTGAAACATATAGTATAGATTGTAGTGAAACATATAGTATAGATTGTAGTGAAACATATATTATAGATTGTAGTGAAACATATATTATAGTTTGTAGTGAAACATATATTATAGATTGTAGTGAAACAAATAGTATAGATTGTAGTGAAACATATAATGTAGATTGTAGTGAAACATATAGTATAGATTGTAGTGAAACATATAGTATAGATTGTAGTGAAACAAATAGTATAGATTGTAGTGAAACATATAATATAGATTGCAGTGAACATATAGTATAGATTGTAGTGAAACATATATTATAGTTTGTAGTAAACATATTGTAGTGAAACATATAATATAGATTGTAGTGAAACATATATTATAGATTGTAGTGAAACATATAGTATATATTGTAGTTATAATGTAGTGAAACATATATTATAGATTGTAGTGAAACATATAATGTTGATTGTAGTGAAACATATATTATAGTTTGTAGTGAAGCATATATTATAGAAGCATATATTATAGATTGTAGTGATACATATAGTGAAGATTGTGGATTTACATTTTCGTACTAAACAAGTTCATATAACCTCTACGTAAATAACATTTAGTACATACCATCATTCATCCGCTATCAAAAAAGTCTGACAATCTAAGACAGCCTAACCTATTAACACGTATCATCGGTGTGCAAACAGTGTGATCCTTTGAAACAGCCCTCTGCCAAATACCAAACATCATGTGCTCAAAGCAAATACATTATATATTTACATGTATACGGTTATTTTTAACTCGTAAACTGCTGATAGGACTTGGTGTTGAATAGTAATAAAACCAATGATGGATACGGATCAGAGTTAAGATAATGCCAGCGATAGCTTGTTAGCCTGTATAACAGTGATGACATTTGTGACTGTAGGGAGCTAAGCTACAAGAGCGTGTAGACGATTAGGTAGAGAGATTGAACAAGAGCAGTAAATACTGCAGGCTAAGGAGCCGCCAACATAGACACGAATTTTCTATAGTAATGGTGATACGACAGGTATTCTCTTATTCGTCTAGACATTTATACAAGTCCTCACCCAGTTTGTTATAAGGTTTACTTCACGAAATAACACTGGTTACGATTAACTTTTCTGATTTTATTGGATCGGGTCACTTACCGGAAAGCCAACGTTTGATTGGATGGGTGTATAAATACGGTTTGTTGGAGCTATATAACATGTTCTTAACTTTGAATTATGAGGGGAAAAGTCTGTAGCTTGGGAAACTTTGAAAAATGTCATGCTAAATATATATATTTTTTTTCTCGGAGAACGGATCGCTCAAGGTTAACTCACTTGTCTTTGCTCTAAAGCAGACATTCTCAAAATGTTAACTTAGCGACGATTAACCCAAGATTGCATAAAAGCCCCTTCTATTTGGCGTTTATGATCCCAATAGGAAATAATATATCAGTAAGGTGATTTCAATGTCTAAATTATAAGCGATTCTCTACACACGAAAGTAAACAAATTATACAATGCATTATAATTAGCTAATATCGTGTTCCAGCAATGTGTGAAATGATTCAGATAATCAATACGGTTAAAGATCATACATATTTTATCTGTATAAAAACTCAAAACAGACATTCCAAACAAGACAAAAAAATAATGGATTACTTACACATGACCTCGCCGAAATACCAGACCTCCTTAGTATGTAACTCTACGAGGACAGGTGGCATGCACACAACCATGACAAGGAGGTCTGCCACACACAAGTTAATTAGATATAGATTGACAGCATTCTTGATATTTCTTCCATAAATTATGACAGCAATCACAGCCGAATTACCTATAATTCCAATTAAGAAAATCACTACATAAAACAATGTAGCGAAGAGTAACAGGTACACAGGGGGCTCAGGTACTGCCCCTCTGTCGCCCCGAGACGTTTCATTCTCAGCAGTCTCATTAGAATCAAAATTCACAGAAAAATTTTCCTTTGAATAATTGTAAGCACTGAGGATGTGTTGTGATAGCAATGGAACCGTAGTATTCACTTGTATACATGGTCCCGACATAGGCTGGTGTGGACCATTCATGTTCGATCCACAGTCGCGACTCCTGTACAGCAACAGTTATATATCAGTTTTGCTGTTTTGTCTGCTTCGTGCGCTCCTTCAGATACCTAACATTGCATGGAAACGGGCGTGCACGTGGATAATATTACTCTCTCTCTCTCCCCTCCCCCCTCTCTCTGACAGTAAATTACAAGGCCTTCGTCACAACGATTTAACAGTCAGTTATTTACATTAATTAAGCAATATACATATATGTATGATTTTTTTGTTGAAATGTATTTTTTTTCAAATGGTGTCTCGTTGAGAAAATCTTAATTGAATAATCAAGCAATAAAAATGTTAAACTGACACAAACTTGCATGTTTTTATCGAATTAACATGATTCAAACCGGTCAAGCGTATATATTAAACATTCAAATATTTAAGACAAATAATATATTTAATTCAATTTCTATTTAAACGTAATGCATATCCTTTTTCAATACTTCGAATATTATCACACGGATTTTTAAGATCTGTAAATAGTATTTTCCATAGGGAAAGACAGATATTTCAAATTATCCTGTCATCCGATATGAGTCAGAATTAAAGTATTTATCGCGGTTCGCCCATCAGCGCGTTACGTAAACAGTGTCTTATTACCGCTGTTTTCAGAAGAAGTGAAAGATAAAGTCGGAAATAATATACATTTGTGATATTGGCCATTGTTGAGCATGCAACATTTTTATCTTTCTTGGATATTCCGAATGGCCGCCATATTCCAATTTTTAGTATCAACATTTGTCATGTCTTAATGTTATACTGAAAGTCTTCTGACAGCATCGAGTTGTATTTTGCCGTTTAAAATTTGTCAACTCTTTTTCTGAACCACTAAAAAACAATCCCCCAGATACATTATCTTTCATTTTATCCGATATTCAAGACGGCTTTCAGCCGACATTGACGAAGTTTGACAGTTAAATTGTGTTACCAACTGGTTTTGTGAACGAACGAAGAACTGTTTTTGTTTTGTTGTTCATCAAAAATAGAACCATTTTTTTTTACTGAGAAAATGTCGCCGTACAAGGACACTTGCAAGTACAATAGGAGTTTAAGAATACTAAAACAGTGACATTGTGAAGTTAAACATGACAAATAACAAGGAAAGAGGTTTTCCTTTCTTTTTTCTTCTTCTAAATTTCACATGAAATGGATACTTGTTAGTGAAAAGTTTTCGTTGAAATGAATTTAATCCAACATTGGTCCTTCTTCCACTCTTTGGCAAATATGTAATAGTTATTTCTATATATGCTTTTAAGGTGGAAATATGTTAGTATAATAAAAACTAAATTCTTAAATATAACTGGATGCTGTTATTGTATTTGAACAAATGGCACGTGTACTTACCAACATATTTAAACCAAAAAGCAGCATTATCATTACCACCAGTAGATTAAATTTCTTTTTTTTACAAATTTTAGTTTGTGAACACCTTTTTAATGTCACAGAGGCAAAAAGAATGTAATCAGTAATCAGTAATTGGACAAGAAAAAATATCGGATTCAGCGGACAATATAATAGCTTTCTTGTCCCAGAGACAGGAACAGAGACGAGTGAGGGGTATCCCTGGCCTGTCTGGGTTTTACAGATATCATTTCACAGTCTTATGTATTAAGGAATGAAGAGCAAACACAGCGCATAGCATGCAGTGACCCATTTACAGTAAAACACAATATATTGGACTAAATTGACTTACGATCCCCTGAGATAATTCCTTTAATAGCATGGGAAATCTTGCACTTTTTAGAATTTAGATTATCTGAAAACTATATACCACTGTTCTATGCCGTTTCAAAATTAGATTATCAGAATAACGCGATGGAGAAATTGAACGAAGTTGACCTCTGTAGGCCATTAGGTTGCAGTTTATACATTATAGTATAGGACACTTAAACAGTTAGCTTCGGAAATAGCAAAGCTGATAGCAACTTGGCAACAACGAATTGCATGTAAATTTGATGACCCGGTCAACATCTAGTGTAATTATTAACTTATACACGAGGAAAACAATGACATGTTACCAGAATATCAATCCAAACAACGATTAGATAAAAACATGGAAAAACATAAAAACAATTGAGGGATTAACACGGAAACGCCTAAAGCTATACACGGAAGTCCAAATAATTTAGTCATTTTCCCGAAATCATCTAGACAATATGAACATGTCACAAAATCATACCCAAAACTCAAATTCAGTTAAACTAGGGTAAAATACGATTAAAAAAAGCAAAAACAAAACATAGGTAAAAGAATAACATCTGGTGTTTCGGAAGAATAAGCTTCTTCTGTTTCATCGATGACACCCGCAATGCAAGGATTGGTCAATCTAAGAAAGTAATGTCACGTTCTCAAATGAGCATATATAGACAACGAAACCAACAGGCAAAGTAACGAGTAACAAACATGTCAAGCTTCATATCGCACAAAGAAATCGAATATTTCTCAATGAGATATCTATGACGGCCATAAAACTTCCTAATAATTTTCATCAACCTTCATCTTTTGAAACTCTGTGTTACAAGTTTGTCCACTAGTTGATGACTTCTTGCACGAAATTCGTGGTAATTGGAGCAGGTCCTTGACATCGAATCAAGTGCGACATGTGAATATAGTAAGTTTGGGATGTAGGGCTGTTGCTGTCCAAAAAAGAGAAATTCACAGAAGGAAAATTGAAGTCATCCCGCTTATCATACAGCTTGGTGGAAAGCTGTCCATGTTGGTTTCGTCGAAGGAAAAGATCGTGATAAGCGTCTGCTGTAGAATAGTCTGTAGTGTCCTAGTTTTCCAATTCTGTCGGGTCTTTATGATGGACGTGGTCAATAAATTTCTTGTTATCCAAAGACCAGTCATCAGCATATCTGAACGTGAAATTAAAACAAATTCTTCGAGGTCTTTGTGACCTGTTTTGATAAACTTTTCGATAAATTTAGTCTCGTATAAAAACAAAAACGACTCCGCCAACAGAGGGGGCAGTAAGTTCCCATGGGTATTGCATTAGTCTGTTGGAAGATCTTAACACCAAACTCGACGAAGATATAAATGTCATAATGACGTGAGTGACACAATTGAAATTGACGTGAGCTGCTTGCAATACCACTCGCAATGAGCTTGATGCGTATTTGCACATAATAGAGGATTTTGTTGATAAAAAAATGAAACTTAAAAGAAAACGACATTTTATTACTTTAGGAAAATTAGGAAAATATGACTCGTGAAAAATGATTACACATAATCAAAATGAAGGTTCTGTATTGTGTTTATATGATGTTAATACAAAATCTTCGAATCGGGGACAAAATACCAGAAACAACGAAGTGTTTATTCAAGATTCATTAGAAATCATCTGAAGCGACGTTAAGGTGTTTTTGTTTTTTTCTCTTTACTTTAGTGACTACTAATATGTAACCAGGTTAATTCTTTTCGCAACTTGACAGCTTTCAATACCAAATACTAAACATACCATTTAAAGTTTTATAGTCAATAAAAAGAAATTAAAGAAGCAATACATCAAATTATATTGCGATGACCATGGATAAGGGTGAAGGTCTTTTGGTTTTGTAAACTCTTTCAATGCCAGGAAACCGCTTTCAAAAAGGATAATTTTAGTAGACACGGTGAACGAAAACGAACCTTTTTGTTTTGTTTGTTTGTGTTTTTATCAAAATCGACCCCACTGGCCTTGTATATGGGACAAATTAATTTTGTCAGTCATAAGCCCCGACACATTGTAACCAAACCGTATGAATGTGAACCCATTTTAAAAGCATGGGCCGTAAATGTTCAAAATTAAATGTCTTTAATACATATGTAAGGTACATTTATTCCACTTGTAAAGTGCCACTAAATGTCTTAAGGAAGTGATTTCATAGGATTGTTATGAAATATTATCAGTCCTAATTAAGAACATTTTTCACTTGAAATATTGTTCTTATACATGTGTAACATTTGTAAAAATGACATTAATTGGTCAACCAACTAAGGTAATGCGCAGAGAACCACACAGAAGTAAGCAAACCAGTCTCTTCATACGAAATGTATTAATACAATTGTACTGCTATATAATCTTACAATAAATTTTGATCGGCATATAGAAAATGGCCGATTGTGCTTGAAAAGCGATTTTGTCGTTACCATTATTTGATTTTAACCTTCACTGGCGATTTTTTATTGTCATAGCGGCAAAATTGGTCAGAATGAAAACGCATACAATAAAACATATCCAATAAAGTAGACTATCGGTTAGTGATCGCTTTGTTACAGAGAATGACGCCGAGATGAGGTCTTCCTAAACCGCCATCGAATGGGAAATATACTGTTCGTTATGCATTGATATATAATGAAAATATTGAAGACCAGTCTGAATGCATCAAATGAAATACAATCACTGCATTTATCTGAATTCTAACTGATGTTTTTTATAATTACATTACAAAACCTGCACTTTTTTGAATTGGTAAACATATCGAGTTTTCTAGACTATCTGATGTCCCAAAATGATGCGACTTACTAAGGCCATATTTTAATTTAACTGTATATGCGTGTCATTTACAATTTTCGTTTATTTGATGTCTAATTTTGGACGATTTCTGCTCATCATTTATTGGTCCTAGTGGTAATTTCTGTTTTGGTTGGGTGTTAAGAATTTACAAATGTTAATATATGCTCGACCGATTTTTATGCAAGAGACATCAGCTGATGTTAAGACATTACATGTTTATGATAAGAAAGCGTTTACAAGAACAGACTTGTTGAAATAGAGGACAAACTACCTGGAACAAAGTAACGGGTCTTCATTAAGATGTATTTTCACCTTTTAGGAATGTTTGTCCATAGTTCCATAGTTAAATTGCTGAATGGACTTTACCGCCGATAAAGAACTGGTCCACAGGAAGGGGCTAAAGTATAGCATTGTTCACTGCGAAAAAGAATGGCGGCTGTTATATAGAGTGTGCCCATTATGTTCATTTTAATTACTAACA